ATTTTTCATGTGTCTTCTTCAATTTCTTTCATTAATGTTTTAGAGTTTTCTTTCTTTTCTTTTTTCTTTTCCTGAGATAGGGTCTTACTCTGTCAACCAGGCTGGAGTGCAGTGGCATGATCATGACTCACTGCAGCCTTCAATTCCTGGATTCAAGTGATTATCCCGCCTCAGCCTCCCAAGTAGTTAGGACCACATTTGTCCAGGACAGCCTTAGCAAAAGGTAGCTGGAGGCAAGGTGGAAAATGTTTGTCCTGCTTCTACCAGGAAGAAAGCCCTCTGACTGGGAGCTGGGAAGAGAGGGAGCTCTGCGTTCCTGGCTACAGCATTGTGGAGTGGAGTCTCCACATTGCTGGGCTGGCAAGAGGGAAAGGAGGAAGTGATCTTGGCTCAAATACTACAAAGCTTTCCTTCTTACCAAATTTTTGTAGATTCTCTTGAACAGATGTCTCTTCATTTGCTTTTTGTCCTTAATACCATTTTCAGAAGCTATAAATGTCTACAGTTTTGAAAATAATTTTCACCAGTTTGACAACAGAGTGTGTCAGTGAAGCTTCTGATGTCATGTTGGAATTCAGTTCTCTGCCTTCATTATGATAGCTGTAAAATAACATCTTGATATTTGGAAGAGCAAGTCCTTCTTTCTTGTTTTTCTTCAAACTGTCTTAGATACTCCTGGCTCCTTTATCTTCCATATGAAGTTTAGGACAAGCTTGTTAAATTCCACAAGTATTTGCTGAAAAATTCTTATGCAAATTCTCTGAATTTGTACTTTGTGTTGGCAGAAATGATCATTATGAAATTGAGTCTTCCCATTCATTAACATGGATTATTTCTCCTTCTACTTAGTTCCTTTAAAAATGTCTTTTAAAAAATCACATTTTTTTCTATGAAGGTTTTACATGCCTTTTGTTAGGTTAAGTCCTAGGACTTTGCTGCTGTTGTAAATAATATTTAAAATAATTTTTAAATTTTTTTACCTTTTTATACTAATGTTTAAGAGTGAACTTTAAGAAACGAATGCATTCACCATCCTTGCTAAATTGTATAATTAGTTTTAATAATTTGTAGAGTTTCTTGTATTTCTATGTACCTAATTGTACTGAGAATGATGATGATTTTGTTTTATCCATCTCATGTACTATTTATTTTTTCATTTTGTGTTATCTATAATTCTAATATAGTATTGAAGAGAAATAGTTATTATGGTATGCATGCTTTTCTTGTTTCTGATTGTAAAGAAAATGCCCCAAACATTCCATCTTTAATAATAGTGTTTGCTCTGGGTTTTTGATAAGAAAGTTAATCAGGCCATAGAAGTCTCCTTCTATTCCTAGTTTAAGAGCTTTTATCATAAAAAGAATTAACTAACATTCATTGAGTATATACCAAGTGTCAGCCATTGTTCTAAGCACTTTACAAAGATTAACTCATAACAAATCTCTGAGGTTATTATTCCCTATTTCATCATGAGTAAACTGAGGTACAGTGTGAGTTAAGTATTTTGTCCCAGGTCAGTGGTAGAACTAGAATTTGAACCCAGAAGTCTGGCTTAAGAGCACAGGGTCTTAACTACTTTTCTCTACAGCTTTTTGAGTGTTGAACGTCATCCAATGCTTTTTTCTGCATTTGATTTGATTCTTTTAACCTGATTTGCTGATGTAGAAGGCTACATTAATAGATTTTTAAAAAAATGTTAAGTCATCCTTGAATTCCTGGGATAAGCTCAATTTGGTTAGCACATGTATCTTTCTTTCCTTTAAAAATACACTGATGGATTTCATTTGCTAATATTTTATTTAGGATTTCTGCATATGCTCAAAAGTGAGATTGACTCACAATTTTCTTTTCTCCTGCTGATTTTGGTACCCAGGTTATGCTAGATAAACTCATAAGTGAGTTAGGGCTGGCAGTTGGTGACAGACATTTCAACCTCAATTAGGCTGACATATATAGGTAGTATAATAGCCAGTTCAATAGGTTAAAACTCCTAGATAGCACAGTGAGGTTTCTCCAGAATCATCCCTCCAGAATGATTTTGCTTTTGTTTCTGCCAAGCATCCCAGAGACACTATCAGGTTGAAATCCCTTAGCTGATTTCTAAGCTTGGGATTTTTGAACACTTAAGAAGTGGAAATTTAAAGTCCAAGCAGTGAATAAAGTGTCCAGAGTCATCTGAACCACTTGTTACTGAATGGCAGTCTAAGACTGCCAGGCTGGCAAATGTATTCCCTCCCAGCAGGGCATTCCCTCCCAAAAGGTCAGAAGGTGGCTGGTCCGTAATCTGGTTTGAATATTGACGGCTGTCTTTCATTCAACCATATTCACACCCAAATAGAATTTTTTTTTTTTTTTTTTTTGAGACAGGGTCTGTGTTGCTCAGGCTGACCTCAAACTCCTGGATTTGAGTCATCCTCCTGCCTCAGCCTCCTGAGTAGCTGGGACTATAGACATGCACCACTGTACTCAGATTCTTTTAATTATATTTACTAGTACTTTACATTTTACAAAATACTGGAATATCTTTAATCTCACTGAATTTACTAAGCAGAGCTGCCATATTATAATTTCTATCTGATTTTTTTTTCTATTTTACAGATTTCTTAAGCTAATCCCTTTGTAAAAGAAATTAGTTAAAAATCATATTTATTTTTCTCAATTAGATCAACAAAAATATTTCTTGTAGGAGAGATGCTAAATTCTACAGTGGCAATAATTAACATCTTTCTTGTCACTCATGAATAGAACCAAGAATGAAATAATGAATTTTCAAAGAGGGTCTGGAGGGGTCTCCATTTCTGTTGATAGTACAGAAACAATTTATTTTAAACGTGACCATAAGAATTTTAATATATCTTCAACTTACTAAGTTATTAATACATTTTTTTTTTTTTTTTTTAAGATGTAGTCTCAGTTTGTCGCCCAGGTTGGAGTGCAGTGGAGTGATCTCGGCTCACTGCAACCTCCACCTCCCAGATTCAAGTGATTCTACTGCCTCAGCCTCCTGAGTAGCTGGGATTACAGGCGCCTGCCACCACGCCTGGCTAATTTTTGTATTTTTAGTAAAGCCAGGGTTTCATTTCATTTTTTTTTTTTTAGATGAAGTCTCAGTTTGTCGCCCAGGCTGGAGTGCACTGGTGTGATCTTGGCTCACTACAACCCTCACCTCCCAGATTCAAGTGATTCTACTGCCTCAGCCTCCTGAGTAGCTGGGATTACAGGTGCCTGCCACCACGCCTGGCTAATTTTTATATTTTTATAGAGACAGGTTTTGTTGGCCAGGCTGGTCTAGAACTACCGACCTCAAGTGATCCGCCCATCTCGGCCTCCCAAAGTGCTGGAATTACAGGCGTGAGCCACTGTGCCCGGCCCAACACATTTTTTAAACAAAAAATTATTGTATCTCTGCTAGCTGCCAGATACTTTTCTAAGCACTATGTAAGAATAAAGTTGAAAACAAATAGAGAAGATGTTCAAATATGATAATTTAGTAACTTAGAAACTTCTTACCATAATGTAGAGCTGTTTGGCCTTCATTATCCTATGAAAGAAACAAATAATACATTTTAGAAGTCTAAGTAATTGCAAAAGTATGAAAGTACATAAACTATAGCAAATTTAATATACCCAGTTCCATAGATTTATCAGACTTAAAGTCAGTTATCTGAGCCTCACAGTAACTTTTGACCAAGCTCATCACCTTGAAGAATAAAGAATGATAACTTGTGCACTGTGGCAGCTACAGTGGAGTAACAGGATAACCAGTTACTCCAGATACCTACAGATAATAAACCAAAGGGAAATCCTTAAAGTGTGGCAGTCTGGTTACCTAGTCAGTGGCAGAAAAATTGACACCGTGTCTCATTTATCTTGGCCAGTATTAGAATTTTTTTTTCCCTAAGCTTGTCCCCAAATCTATCTAGTGAATCTGTGATTTATAGTGGATAGCTTTTTATCCCCTTTGAAAGACTCACAAATTCCAGGCTAATAACATTAGGTTTCCTAAACAGATCAAGTATGATAAAGTAATGTGATTTCAAAGCATACAAAATCCCAGGAGTTTTTAAGGAAGCCAAAAATTACCATAGAATACTTAGGATATTCCAACATTTCAGTTAATTATCTTCCTTTAAAACCAAGAAAACTGTATATACTACTAACTGTAGCACAGCTGAGTACTTTTTAGCAATGCCACCTCTTAAATTAAGAGCAGCTAGTCACATTACATGCATAACAATCAGTTAAAGTACACAAGTGAAAAGTAGAATTCAGTAATTAATTTCATAAGCACTTTGTAATATGCATGGCCATTATGTTCCTGATAATTAAGAATAAATGTGAAACTGTTACTATGAATAACTTGGAAAGGGTGATGTTGTCCCAGTCAAACTATTCTGGGGTACCCATATCTGCCTTTCCCACTTCCTAACAGGTCAATGTAGGGGTGGAGGTTAGCACCAAAACTTTTTGGCAATGGGTCTCCCTATTAATCTCCTAGAAAGAAAAGCAGAAAGTTGCCATAGGTAACTTATTTTATGGTTCAGATAGGTAGTAAGAAAAAGGTCATGGCAGGGGGACAACCTTGAGACAATGTAGTTCATTTTCCTACTATGGAATGAAGTCCTGATTGGATTTGGAGGTAAGGTGCTTATTACATGGGTGAGAGGAGATATGAAAGAAGTAATTTTGGCAGGGAGTCAGGGTAGAGTACACTTGGCTAAGGTACAACTATGGCTAAGTTTGGGATGTCCAGGAAGCATCATAAAGATAATAAACTCCAAGAAAAGTAAAAGATGGAAAGCAGCATGCAAAAGTCAGGAAGCACAGATGATCATTTTTACCTACTTTTGTCTTTTTAGATATAACGTTTATGTTGTTCCCCTTTGACTTGCCCTGCCCTTGAGATTAAGGACAGGTGGGGGAAGAGAGGTAAGGCAGCTATAGTGAGTAGTATCTGAGTGATTCTTATGCAGGGCAACCTGACAATGTGAAGTTCTGCTCCAGAGAATGTTGTCTTGCTTGGCAAAGCTAAGGCCAATTTTGAAAGAACAGTACTGACCATTGTGGCTTAAGACTCATATCTGTATTTGCCAGTTTCCAATGTTAATCAATAAAAGTGTGTGTGTGTATACACACACACATATGCAAACACCTGATGGGTTTATATATTCACATTTATAGTTTAAATGTGAATATCCTGCATTAGGAAGTAATTTCAGAAAGAGCTTAATCTACTGCAGTTTCAGGATTCTACTTATGCATCCATCATGCAAGGTTGTATTTTCCACAGATATCCACCTTTAGACAGCATTGTTGTTTCACTACGTATTTGTGCATAACTCTCATGTTTAATCACTCTGTTCATATATACTCAATTTCCTTTCAATTTCTAATTCTTCGTTTTCACGAAGGAGGTGGAAGAAAGAGTAATTCCTTTTAATCACTTTTACCAGTGAATACTAAATCTGTATCTCTAGCTCAATTTCAAATTAATTAAGTGTAGTTACAATTATGTTCCAGTCACTGTTCTAGGCACTGGAAACACAGAGATAAATGAGACAGAGAAGGTCTCTAATGTTATAAATCTTTTATTGTAGTGGCTAGGGAATCAACAAGCAAATTAATACATTTAATAATATGCAGTGATGAGTACGTTGGAAAAGAATCAAAGCAGAGTAAGAGATGAGATTGGTGTGGGGTGCTGTTTTAGATAGAAAGGACAGAGGACTCTATAAGACGGTATGTTTTCAGAGAACTGGGGAAGACACTAAGGTGATCATGCAACCCCAAATGGGCAAATCACAACACTTGTCATCTTCCTTGTCTGAAAGTAAGCACATTACTCAAGCCAAGGCAATTAGTTTTCTTTCAAAAATTTTCAAAATGGAGCTAAGGGATAGAAGTGTGTGCACACAGAAGGTTCTTTCCTCTCTGATCAAAACTAAAGGGTGCAACCCTATAAATATGTACAAATATTATATGTCAATTTAAAAAAAGAAAGTGTGGTCAAAGAAGCTAGACATGGAAGGACAGATATTGTATAATCCCATTTATATGACATACCTAGAGTAGCCAAATTCATAGGCACATGAAATAGAATAGCAGTGACCTCCCAGGAGCTGGGAGGAGGGGAGCATGGGGTGTTCTTGTCTAATGGGTACAGAGTTTCAGTTTGGGATGCTGGAAAAGTTCCGGAGATAAATAGTGGTGATAACTGAATAATGTGAATGTCCTTAATGCCACTGAACTGTACATGTAAAAAAATGGTTAAAATGGTAAATTCCACATATATTTTACCACAATAAAAAAAGAAAATTAGAAAAGGGTATGAGTCAAAAACTTCAAGTGGCAATGTTCTGTACTTTTGGGGGAAAATCAATCTGCAGTAGAAGGAAATAAGTATTCACAAAGAAAAAAGCAGTGAGAGATGGAGAGAGAATGAGGTTCTCTGGATCTTGTCATTTAAACAATATTTTTCTTGGTCAGGTAAGCCAGTAACAGCAAAATACTCCCTAGACAAATGTTATCTTTTTGTCACTTGCAAACAAGAGTCCTGACTAACACAGAATGTAAGGCATTTTATGAACCAATTCTTGCTCATCTGTCTCCCAATTCCTTCTCTTCCCAATTTTGTGACTGCCAATTCCCAATAAGAATACTTATCTGGGGCCTCGAGCGGTGGCTCCCACCTGTAATCCTAGCACTTTGCGAGGCCAGTGTGGGTGGATTGCTCGAGTTCAACAGTTCGAGACCAGCCTGGGCAACACGGTGAAAGGTGACACCCTGTCTCTACTAAACCACAAAAAAATTAGCCAGGCATGGTAGTGTGCACCTGTAGTCCCAGCTACTTGGGAGGCTGGGGCAGAATTGCTTAAACTCGGGAGGTGGAGTGAGCCGAGATAGTGCCACTGCACTTCAGCCTGGGTGACAGAGCAACGCTATGTCAAAAAAACAAAACAAAACAACACACACACAGGAAACGCACACACACAAAAAACTTATCTGGACTCCTGTAGCTATAAATGCTCCTTGCTCTACTTGGAACTGTCCCTCAACATTTTAAAGATAGAATCTCAATCTTTTCTCATGTTTAAAAATCTCTTTGATATATTTGAGCCCAGGGCTTCATGACTAAAACACCAAAAGCAATGACAACGAAAGCCAAAATAGACAAATGGGATCTAATTAAACTTAAGAGCTTCTACACAGCAAAAAAACTATCAATAGAGTGAACCGGCAACCAACAGAATGTGAAACAATTTTTGCAATCTACCCATCTGACAAAGGGCTAATATCTAGAATCTATGGAGAACTTAAAACAAATTTACAAAAACAAAAAACAAAAAACAACCCCATCAAAAAGTGGGCAAAGGATATGAACAGTCACTTTTCAAAAGAAGACATTTATGCAGCCAACAAACACATGAAAAAAGCTCATCATCACTGGTCATTAGAGAAATGCAAATCAAAACCACATTGAGATACCACCTCACACCAGTTAAAATGGTGATCATTAAAAAATCAGGAGACAACAGATGCTGGAGAGGATGTGGAGAAATAGGAATGCTTTTACACTGTTGGTGGGAGTGTAAATTAATTCAACCATTGTGGAAGACAGTGTGGCAATTCCTCAAGGATCTAGAAATAGAAATACCATTTGACCCAGCAATCCCATTACTGGGTATATACCCAAAGGATTATAAATCATTCTGTTATAAAGACACATGCACACGTGTTTATTGTGGCATTGTTCACAACAGCAAAGACTTGGAACCAACACAAATGCCCATCAATGATAAGACTGGACAGGGAAAATGTGGCATATATACACCATGGAATACTATGCAGCCATAAAAAGGATGAGTTCATGTCCTTTGCAGGGATATGGATGGGAAACTGGAAACCATTATTCTTAGCAAACTGACAAGAACAGAAAACCGAACACCGCATGTTCTCACTCATAAGTGGGTGCTGAACAATGAGAACACAAGGACACAGAGAGGGGAACATCACACACTGGGGCCTGGAAGGTGGTGGAGGAATAGCAGGTGGTGGGGGGATTGGAGAGAGATAGTATTAGGAGAAATATCTAGTGTAGATGACAGGGCGATGGATGCAGCAAAACACCATGGCACATGTATACCTATGTACCAAACCTGCGAGATCTGCACATGTAAGCCAAAACTTAAAGTATAATAAATAAATTTTTTAAAAATTGAATTGACATTTCATAATCCCTGTATTTCTTTTTTTCCCCCCCACTTATTTATTTTATTGCATTTTAGGTTTTGGGGTACATGTGAACAACACGCAAGATTGCTGCATAGGTACACACGTGGCAGTGTGATTTTTTTTTTATTTGAGTTCAGGGAGGGGAAGCAGGGTGACGTTTGTTGTGCTGGCTGATACCTACATATTGCTTCCTATGTGCTTTTTGATTTTGGATTATGAGGGTTTTTTTTTTTTTTTTGAGACGGAGTTTCACTCATGTTACCCAGGCTGGAGTGCAATGGCGTGATCCGCCTCCTGGGTTCAGGCAAT